AAGTGCCAACTTGCCTTCGTCAAAATGAAACACCTTTATTCACTTGGTTAGTTTCAAGTTCAAGCCTTGGGTTCGTATTGACGCCCTCCGTGCGATCATATTGTACGACTGCCATGAGTGGACGTTTCGTTCAGAAGAAGTAAAACGTCTGTCCATTTTCTGCAACCGTTGCCAACAAAATATGGCTTCTTTGCCTGGGGAACATAACGTTAGCAACACATTGGTCCGAGAACGATTATTTGGGGGTGCAAGTACCATGCCTTCATGAGGTTATTCACCAACGCCGATTGCGTTGCCTCGGCCAGCTATTGCGCCTGCCCACCGATTGCTTTTCCCCTTGAGCATTATTTGGGCTTCACAGAAACGAATGGGAAAGTGCAGCGATGCACTACATTACCGTGTAGAAAACGTATGATGCAGGCCGTCTCATGCTTACCATCCGTCGGACCGGTGCGACTTTCCGTAGGGCCACAACCGGACAATGACTCGCAATGGTTGAAAATGTTGGATGTTATGGCCCGCAAACCACACCAGTTATGCAATTGCTGTTCCGCAGCAGCATATTTTATTTACTCTCTAAGCGAAAGCATAAAATTCTTCAAAACAAAACAAACAACATTAGTGTGATTTGGAGCAGCTTTCTCTTAACACCGCAATCCGAGACCCGTTGATTGGGTCTTGATTCCAACTAGTCCAAAAACCAATAAGAAAAAACAAATATTAAAAACGGCAAATGCGGAACCGAAATATGTCGATTTGTTTTATTATTGTATTTTGCATTGTCAATATATTTCTGTCTTGCTTATGATGGCAATTGTCTGCAATTGGGTGTTATATATACTGCTATATAATGGAATTAATAATTTCATATTACGCATCAACTTTTAAATGTCACTATGGGATTTTTGGCACTTTAGAAACTCTTGACGGTTGTACTAACATTCGTTGCAATCGGAAACCAGAAGATACAATGAGGAGTTGGCGATATTTAAATATAGTCCACGGGATGGGGATAGTCTAAGACCACATGGTAAGTTGTATGTACATAGGTATTTGAGGATAGGATCTGAGCCTAATGAAAGCCGCCTAGTATTAAATTGATATGTACGGGGGACTAAGCGACGAAGGTAGGACGATCGAGAAATGGTACTAATGGCTTGGGTTCCAATGGTCAGAAGTGCTTGTTGATTTAAGCATTCTAGTTAATAATGAATAAGTACAGCGGCAAAGAATATGTCAACAAACCAGCTAAAATATGTGATGCAAACAGCCTACAAACAAACAGTTGGAAGGAGAAGGAGTGGCACTTAGCGCGCCCCGAATATGCGCAAACATGCGAGGATAGTACACCAGACCTCGGAAGCTAGAGTTGGTGAAGTAGAGACAAACGAGATAGAAGCGTTGGGGGACAAACCATCAGCGGTCAACTGTAGTCACTCGATTATGCAACTCAGTCACCTGTGAATACTTACCGTGTCACGGAATGTGTCTCAGAACGACCTGCGTTGTAATGCAAGAGAATAAAAGTTGTAGGAAAAGAGTAACACATAGCGGGCTCCGAGAACCCCTAGAGTTGCATGAAGCCCGTGGCGACTGGATGCTACCAAAGAGAAATAATGGCTGTATCAAAGGTAGTATCAGTGGCTGGTGAAGCCATAGGATTAAGAAGTTTGGCCACTAGCGAATACCTACAATGTCAATAAAAAAATCAACAAGCGAGCGAAGATTACAAAGACAGATATACGAGAAAAATGAAGGCCAGAGAAACAGGGAGTCGCTACTTAAAAGTTAAAGATTCGCACAGAGCTGCATGGAGCCAACAACGACTAACTGTCGCCAAGATGAGTTGAAGACAGTTAGGCGAACGGCAGACAAGGAGGCTAGGGAGAAGTCAGTTTGAAATATTGCCTGCAGTGTAGGCGAACACGCTAGTCTCAAAGCTTAGCCAGCTAATCTGTGATTGCACTCAACGGGAAGGCCCTTGTAGTTTCCCGGAAAACAAGCTCGTTCAGTATTTTGTAACATTGGCTTTTACGGTTGTTTTAGCCTTCGAAACGTCCATTTGTTTTACTGACTGTACGTCCGTTGACACAAACCGTTTTGGTGAGTACCTCGCTGCACGTTCCTCGCTCTATCTGATTCGATTCCTGTTCTTCCAACTTGCACAATATACGTCAGGTTCAGTCGCCTCCGATTTCTATCCAGTCATATTTGACACGTAGTGCTTTTCATAGCTTACCGACTAGTATCCCAGGCACCGGCCAACAATTCCCCAACGTATACTCGCGTACATTACGGGCTACTGCACACCAGGTATGTACCCCTAACTTGTGCTTTGTTCTCAGAGAGCACGAAACAGCGTGCTATAGTAGATGTTCATATGAAGAGTGACCCCACAATTTGCATAGTGGCCCTGTGTAAGCATGAGTACTAATACGCCGTTGATTACCAGGTTTATCCATTCTGCACTGGATGGTTCCTCAATAATTCCCTGACGGGATACATCTGACTGACCAAGGTGTCTCTGGTTATCAATTTAGTACCACATAGAGCATAGCGCAACAACGCATTGCTTAGCACTATGATCTGCTAAGGAACGCACGGTGTTAACGCATTAATCCCAACAGAACACGCAAAATGGACACTCTTTACTTATAAAAACTAGGCAGGTCCTGGATTCATGGCGGGTGAGTGACAGGTATTAGGTAACGCTTATTACAGAAATGTTGCAAGTAGCGATAAACAGTTAGGCTTTTAATAACCTATTTACATCAAACGTCAATTGACCTCTGATGACGGTAACCCAAGCTACTATGGAGGAAATAGCACTCACATATTGACGTGGCAAAGTTTGGCGACTGACTTCGGAGACACACACGTGTACATTTATTGAGTAGGAAGAAGAATGAATAAAGCGCATATAAAAAATCAACTATATAAAAGCTAGTATGAGTTGAATTGTAAGCACTTTTGTGCATGGAGGAAGATTGGGCGAGTGAATCCATCTACGTTAAAAAATGATTAGTAGGATAGATAGCGTAAAGAAAAAGCAAAAACGCTTAACAGGCACATGTATTGTTATCTAACAAAATAATTACGAATGAAATTTTGTCAGCTCTATCACGTTTAATGACTTAAACGCCCAGCCCTCCAAGCCACGCAGCTCCATGTTAATGATTTAACTGTTATGTGAGTGCGGTGGATTAGAGTTCAAGTTCGAGTTCGTGTGGGACTAGAACGATAAGAGAAACACGTTGGTATTCCGTCTTGTGTCTATTGTTGAGCCAGGAATTGATAAAGTGCTCAGATATTGATGGATCTAAGACGCAACCTCCTTATCGCACCCTGGCCAACCGGTTAATGCCCACGTTTCTTAGCCTAGCAGTCCCTGCTGTGGCAATCACGTGAATTAAGCAAAGGATAGGAAGAGAAATCGTAAGTACAGAATAGGAACTGCACTTGAAATAAGCTAGTAATACCAATACCTGAAGGAAATCAAAGTGAACATCGTAGTATATTTCTTGAGACAAACGGTCCTGCGGTACATTTGCCCGGGTTGCATTCCCAGAATTGCGAACTTCGTGCGGGATATTTCTTGCGACCTTTCCTCAACGACTTGCCCTATGGTTGGTTCTGTAATCTCGTCTCCCACTAACCCGCCCTCCACACCGCGTAACAAGCATTCGCAGACGCAGTCGCCCCGGTCACCACGATTCGTTGAGCCGCCTAGCAACACTGCTCGCTCAGAAGTGCGCTTGCTTAATCTGGAAGAACAGCTACAGAATCTATTGCGGAAAGTCGACGGTCTAACCAAACGACGACAACAACCTCCCAACCGTCCTGAATCACGTACCGTCTCACCGTTACCAACTGCTGGTCTGCCCAACACTTGCCGACGACCAACGCTTCCGACGGAGGCCCTCCCACCAAGTAAGCTTGCTACCGCTTCACATCCGCGTTCGTCTAGGCGAATAACGAGTAGCCCTGCTCCTAATTCTGTCATATGTACAAACGTGCCCGAGTCCAACGACCCGCAACTTCAGAATCGACATTCTCATGATTCCACTATGTGGAGCTCAATCTGTACCGCGTTAAACCTCCCTGAAACGAAACCCATTAGTCTCACAAGACTGACTCGCCACACTTCATCTCCGAACGCCGGTAAGCCAAGACTTCTGCGTGTTGACTTGCAGCCAGGCCCGGCTATGGAGGATGTCCTGTTGTCAACACACCTACTCCGAAACAATGCGTCTCTCGGCATTTACCAAATTCGTATCTTCCCCGACATCCCTTGGACTAAGCGCGCTGCGCGCAGACAGCAACTGACGCCACCCACTCAACCATGCTCCATCATTGTGCATGGCGTCCCAGAACTGCATGCTGTTGACGCAACCTTACAACAACGACAACAGCATGACTGTAATCAATGGCGGTTCCTTCAGCAGACACTAAATATTGTCAACGTAATCACAACGGACGTTCACCGCCTACCTCGTCCAGCAACTTATACAGGAACAGCCCCCGTCTTCTGAAAGTGACATTCCTCACTGCTAGCATGGCAACCGATGCACTCACCATCTGATATGCTAATAAAAGATGAGCACCACCAGATATCCGTCTGCGTCCAGATGGGCACCCGGTGCCGAGGCGCACAGCTTCCCACAGACCCCTGGTAGCAGCAGCAGCAAACTCGGTACCGACACACTCTGACCAGTTCGTCCTCATTCGGTGCACCACCGAACCACCTGCCTCACTGCCTGGAGAACTTTACTCACCTACACATTCCAACCTTCAGACTTTCAACGACCCAGCCGCCAGCACCCATCTGGGCTCCGACGACCCACACCTTGTTTCCCCAACTACAAACCTTAGCGGCTCTACCCCCTAAACCAAAAAAACGGCGCACTGCCGGTCATCTGCTGACCGGCAGCACCCTAGTTACTCCCGCGCTCATCACCCAAACGGGCCTCACCTGTATCTACACAAACGCACAGGGCCTCATGTCCAAACTTCCGGAGCTCCAATTCCGACTTCTATCAACACCAGCGGACCCAATAGCCATAACGGAAACGTGGCTCTCCGGCGACATAACCGACGGTGAAATCCAACTTCCTCACATGTCAGTTCTCCGCTCTGACCGCGCAACCCCAGGTGGCGGTGTCGCACTGTACTATGACATCTCCCTCAGCTGCAGCATGTTAACACACACCTCCCTCCAGTCTCCAGACACCATGTGGTGCGAGGTCGTACTAACCACCAAACACTCCAGCTGTCTTGGTATCATTTACCGCCCCCCAAACAACTCTCCCGAGAAGGATGCACGACTACTGCACGACGTTCACCTTATGTTATCCCACAAGCGCACACACTTTCTTATCATGGGTGATTTCAATCTGCCCCGTCTATTTCACTCTGTCCCGTCTACTAACTCCTTTGCATCAGGCCTCATTGATCTTTTTCACACGGCCCCGTTGTACAACCACACGTATCAGCCGACCAGATTCCGATCCAACAACCAACCGTCCCTGCTAGATCTCGTCCTCACTAACGAAGAACTGATGGTTGAGCCCGTTGAGTATGATGCCCCTTTGGGGCTTAGCGACTACTGCGTCCTCCGTTTCGATTTTATATGCTTCGCCGAAAAACTCGTCAGCACGCCAACTTATACCAAACGCTGGACTGATTACGGAAAGTTGAACCTTCTCATTTCCGCTAACAACTGGTCACCCGAGCACCAATCGAGCGCCGACAGCGTGTGGTCAAGCTTTTGCCTTACTCTACGTGAACTCTGCTCCACTACGACGACGTGCAAAGAAGTTTCCATAGGAAAGAGACGCCCAGCACTCATCCGAAGTCGTACACGGAAATGGATTGCCTCCAGGAACACGGCATGGAGAAACTATCGCTCCCATCCAACGGCCACTCAGTGGGAATACTACCGATCCATCCGTAACCAATGCGTCCATCTTGTACGAGAAGATAAGAGTGAGCACCAGCGTCAACTTATGCGTAAATTTTCATCCAATCCCAATGCCTTGTATAGACACGTCAATAGTCTTCGACAAGTCAAACACGGTGTCACCGCATTGACGACCTCCACAGGGCTCACGAAATCAGCTACCGAGGCAGCCGACGTCCTGTGCAAGCAGTACGCATCCACATTCTCCGTTCCATCACTGCACACAACGACGGTACCTTCTTCGGTTTCACGCTCAACTTCCCTGACGACTGTTCATTTCACTCCGGAGAAGGTCCTGGCGAAACTCAAGTCCCTGCGGCTAACGGCCTCTCCTGGCGCTGATGGTTTCCACCCACGGCTCTTGCGAGCGTGCGCTGCAGCTCTAGCTTTACCCCTAGCGGAGCTGTTCACCCACTTCTTCTTGCAAAGCAAAGTTCCCAATATGAAACAATTAGATCCCTTTAGTAATTTGAATAATGCCGTAAGAAGACGAACACTGGCAGATGTCAACATTTCGTATTGTCTCTTCAGTGCCAACACAATAACATGAAAATATATAAGACGACAGATAGGGTGAGACCGGAACAAGTTAGAATAGGGTAGAGGGGCAGGCGTGACACCCCTACGCCCAGGGCAGCCGTAGGCTTACGAACAGCTGTTTCTGCACACAGAGTGCGGGTTTGATACGGCTGATCGCGACTGCCTCTGCAAAACGTAGGAAACGGGGGTTAGTATGTCTTAACACGATTGTAAACATTGTGGCCGGATCAAACTGGTGACAGGTGGCAAGTAAATGCCTGCCTATGGATGAAGCAGGTGGTTTACGTGAACAGGTGGTATGAGCAACCGAGGCCTGGGTGATTTGACGCTGCAACCATTTAGGTACATGTTCCCTTATTCTGGAATTCAACGATCGATTGGTACGGCCAATGTAGTGTATACCACAATTACAAGTAAATTGGTAAATGCAATGTGAGTTGGCGCCAATAGGTTGTCTTTCCGTCATTGGGGTAACAGGCATTCGATTCATCCGGTGGTAAGGACAGTTTCGGCAGCATAATAAGTCCTCTGGACTGCGGAAATTATGCGCTTTGTTGTCCTCATATTAGCGAAATCTCCCTTAAATGGTAGCTCGATGTAGATCTTCTTTTTAGCCACTGTCGATACCTTCTGTCCCGGCACCCTCGCCTGACTATGTTTGTCGATGAACCTACTTGGATAGCCATTTTTCAACAACGTATCCTTTAGCGAGTTTATCTCATCATCTAAACTGTCGGCAGTGCATATTTTCCTTGCACGGTTGAATAGCGTCTTGACCAAGGTCCGTTTGTACCGGCTCAGGAGCCGTCATTATGTGCAAGGAAGAATACACACGGAAAATGCAAGATTTACTGAGTGATGCTAGCAAATTTAAACTCCTTACAAAAACAGAGGATGTTAGTGAAGTGGAAAGACGCATCACGGAACACCTAAAGTTGCTCCTCTTACACCGTGTAATTAATGATGAGGTATATAACCACCTAAAACCGGGAGGGTCCAACATACCTCAGCTATACGGTTTGCCAAAGACCCATAAATGTGGTATACCGCTTAGACCAATCTTGTCAATGGCAAACTCGGCACAGCATAAGTTGGCTCGTTGGCTGGTAGAAGTTCTTTCGCCGTTAAAGCAGCAGACCATCCCACACCGTCTGAAGGACTCTTTCGAACTTACAGAGGCTTTAGATGATTTTAACCTATCCGATAAAGTCATGTCCACATTGGATGTACAATCGCTTTTCACCAATGTTCCGCTACATGAAACAGTTGATTACGTGTGTGAAATGGCAGAGTGCTCCGACTTTACTCTTCCAATGCCAGTCGAATTATTAAAGGACAGCTTACTACTATGTACTGAGAACATCGGTTTCCAATTCCAAAACATTCCTTATCGCCAGATAGATGGGGTGGCAATGGGTAGTCCGTTGGGCCCAGTACTAGCTGATTTTTTCATGTCGATGGTTGAAAAGAAGTTGAGTGTGGAAATATCGCTGCTTTCCTACTATAAGCGATATGTGGATGATATTCTAGTGTTTAGCTCATCAGAGGAGCACATTGCGCGTTTAGTCGATCGCCTGAATAACGTGCATACGAATCTGAAAGTAACCAACGAAACAGAGAAAAGCAACTGCCTTCCATATCTGGACGTGTTGATTTGCCGAAGAGCAGATGGGTCCATCAAAAGAGAGGTTTACCGAAAACCGACCTGGTCAGGGCAGTACCTACACTTTACCAGCTTCTCCCCAATGCGGTACAAACGGACCTTGGTCAAGACGCTATTCAACCGTGCAAGGAAAATATGCACTGCCGACAGTTTAGATGATGAGATAAACTCGCTAAAGGATACGTTGTTGAAAAATGGCTATCCAAGTAGGTTCATCGACAAACATAGTCAGGCGAGGGTGCCGGGACAGAAGGTATCGACAGTGGCTAAAAAGAAGATCTACATCGAGCTACCATTTAAGGGAGATTTCGCTAATATGAGGACAACAAAGCGCATAATTTCCGCAGTCCAGAGGACTTATTATGCTGCCGAAACTGTCCTTATCAACCGGACGAATCGAATGCCTGTTACCCCAATGACGGAAAGACAACCTATTGGCGCCAACTCACATTGCATTTACCAATTTACTTGTAGTTGTGGTATACACTACATTGGCCGTACCAATCGATCGTTGAATTCCAGAATAAGGGAACATGTACCTAAATGGTTGCAGCGTCAAATCACCCAGGCCTCGGTTGCTCATACCACCTGTTCACGTAAACCACCTGCTTCATCCATAGGCAGGCATTTACTTGCCACCTGTCACCAGTTTGATCCGGCCACAATGTTTACAATCGTGTTAAGACATACTAACCCCCGTTTCCTACGTTTTGCAGAGGCAGTCGCGATCAGCCGTATCAAACCCGCACTCTGTGTGCAGAAACAGCTGTTCGTAAGCCTACGGCTGCCCTGGGCGTAGGGGTGTCACGCCTGCCCCTCTATCCTATTCTAACTTGTTCCGGTCTCACCCTATCTGTCGTCTTATATATTTTCATGTTATTGTGTTGGCACTGAAGAGACAATACGAAATGTTGACATCTGCCAGTGTTCGTCTTCTTATGGCATTATTCAAAGTTCCCAATGATTGGAAATGTGGGACTATTACACCAATCTACATAGGCGGTACTCGCAAAGATCCGGCCAATTACCGACCGATAACTCTCCTATCTACGATCTCCAAAGTGATGGAATCGATCGTCGCAGACGCTTTAACGGATCACATGGAGACCCAGAAACTGCTCTCTGATTGCCAGCACGGTTTCCGGCGTCAACGGTCTTGCCTGAGTAACCTGCTACTTGCCAGGGACAGCTGGACGACTGCAGCCGACTCTGGCCAAGAAACGCATGTTATCTTTCTGGATTTCGCCAAAGCCTTCGACAAGGTCGACCACAAGATTCTGCTGCGGAAACTGTCATCTTACGGCGTTTCAGGGGACTTGATGGACTGGATCCGGAACTACCTCCAAAACCGTACCTTCCAAGTACGCGTCGACGGAGCGTTGTCTCCCCGCATCCTTGCCACAAGCGGAGTTCCACAGGGGTCTGTTCTCGGACCGCACCTCTTCCTAGCCTTCATTGACGACGTCACACCGCAAGTGGAGTCTTCGCTGCTACTATACGCGGATGACGCCAAGCTGTGGCGCACAATTAACCTTCCGGACGATGCCCACGCACTTCAGACGGACCTCGACCGTCTAAATCAGTGGTCCATAGAAAATAACCTTCCATTTAACGCTTCGAAATGTCGCGTCCTTTCTACCCGCCCTTCCGCTTTTTCTCCTGTATATTACCTGGGAGCGTCTATCCTCCAGATCTCTTCAGCCGAAAGAGACTTGGGTATCATTACCCAGACGAGTCTTTCCGTATCCGCTTCCTGCCGGAAAGCAGCTGCTGCTGCTAACCGCATGGTGGGATTGCTGAAACGAGCCTTCGGTCAAATTGACCCCAGCAATTTCCGCCTCCTCCTTAACGCTTTTCTCCGACCCCACTTGGAGTTCGCTATTCAGGCTTGGAGCCCTTGGTTGTTGAAGGACCAACGCATACTCGAAGCCCCACAACGTCGAGCAACCAAACTGGTCCGAGGTCTCAAGCACCTAGATTATCCACAACGACTTCAGTGCCTGGGCCTCTACTCGCTTAAGTACCGACGTCTACGGGGCGACCTGATCCTCGTATTCATGATCTTATCCAACCCTGGACATCCCTGTCGCCACCTACTCACACTGCACCAATCGGGCTCCCACCTACGTGGCCACCCACTGAGGCTCACACATCAGCACAGTCGGCTGAACTGCAGACGACACTACTTCGCTTTGCGAATCTGCCGACCGTGGAATGCTCTGCCTGCCGATTTAGTCTTGGCACCCACTGTGGCGGACTTTAAGGCCCGCTTGGACTGTCATCTGGCCGAGCTACACCGCGATATTCCCTAATTTAACTACATTCTACTGGATGGAATTTCTTTCTTCTTTTTTCTTCCACCTTCCTTTCCAAAGCCGTTTCGGAGGGCGTGGTGGGATGTCTCGCTTTGAGCCGGCGTGCATTCTGTTTAAATGCCACATAAGCCCGATGAAGATACGGCTAACACGCGAGTCCAACCCGCTATAAGGTTGCTTGGCCTTTCATTAAACCCGACCCGTACTCTTTTTACCCTATGGGTCATGTAAAGCTCCAGCTTTTATTCCCATTAAATACAATGTTCCAATGTTCATTGGATCATTGGATGATAGAGAGCAGAAGGAAGATCCTTTGTCAGCTCCTTCACTTCCCGATCATTGCGGAGATGGCGTGGGTCATTGCGGTAGTAGGTTCCGCAGAGGACCACTGTAGCTGCCTTAGAGGCAGCAGAATCCCAGCGCGCTCAGGTGAGAATCCGACAGTTGTTTGAAACGTTCCTCTGTCTCAGCATCAACACCAGGATCCGGCAACCGGTTCCAATCATTCACCGCGCGAGTTGATAAGGCCAAATTGAGCCGCACACGGAGATTCCTCGGTTTGAACAGTTTCATGCGGTGGCCTCGTGTCGAACTCTCAGTGTTAAGTTGAAAGAAGTCCTGTAACTCGCAACGCAGTTCTCCTCTGAGAATACGTCGGGTGAAAATCAAATCTCCTCGGTGACGGCGGTAACCTAGGGAGAACAAGTTCAGTCGTTGAAGTCGATGTGGATACGACAGGTCTCGCAACTCAGGGACGGATTTGGATCCACGCCGTTGAACCTTCTCAATCATATCACATTCGGATTTGGTGAGAGGGTAGACAGCGGGTAGTCCGTATTCGAGAATCGTACGTACATGCGAGCCAAACAGGAGTCGGAAAAGTTCCGGGGTCAGGAGAGAAAACCCTCTACGTAT